CAAAATAAAATGTATTCTTTTAAAAACAGCAAAAAATATTTCCAGATTTGTATGTAATAAAGAAAAAAATATATATCCATGTATATTTGGAGGTTGTAAATGACACAGGAGAAGATTGTTCATCTTTTTCCCATGGAGTAACTGGTGGATTAGAACCACCAGAGGGGGCACAACCTTTGGGTTAGCAATGCAATTCGCTAAACACTATGTCACCAGAGCTCCCTTAGTGACATGTGACAGGATGAGAAGACAAACGATATGAAGGATTGATTTTGCTCAATGCAATGTAGAACTGTCCATGCATGAAAGATGCTACCTAATGAAGTAGTGAGTTCATTGTAATTGATGATATTCAAGGAATTCCAACACTACAGGGAGATGGGATTCTACAGATTGCCTCTAATGTCACTTCTATCCATCTCTATGATTTACTGTTCATAATGGCAACCTAGATATCCTGTACAATCTTCTTAATGGAAATTTCCAAAGAGTATGCCACAAAAAAAGTCTACTGAAACAAAACACAACTGTCATTGAGTGGATTCTGACTTATAGCAACCCTTGATCAGGTTTCCAAGGCTGTAAATCTTAATGGAAGAAGATAGACCCTCTTACTCCTACAGAGTAGCTGTTAGGTTCAAACTGCCCACCTTTTGGTAAGGAGCTAAGTTCTTAAACTACTGTCCTACCATGGGTCTCTAACAAATTAGGCACATGCAAACAAATTAAACAAGCTAGATATTAAAGGGCAAATATTATTAAGGGTACACTACTACAATAAAGCTAAGAAAAAATATAACAAATCGGAAAAATAGTGTTTGATGGTTGTCAGAGTTGGGTGGGGAAGGCAAAGGAAGAGAAAAATTATAATTAGAATAATCATAGTAAAAAATAATTATAGTTGTATTTTATCCAAAGAATACAGCTATTAAACAAGTAAAGAATACTAATTGTTCTGAAATTGTGATCACAAAAAGTTATTCATACCATGATTGTGAAAGCATGTAACTAAATATAGTCTTTATAATTTGAGATTATAAATTTAATAAGTAATTTTCTCACTAATATTTTTTTTCAAAAACAGGGGTTTCTTTAATTACTAAGTTAGAAAACAAAATACAGAGACCATCTTAGTGGGAAGAAAATGTGTACTTCTATTTTGTCTAATTTTCACATCATCCATATGTAAGAAACATTTATGCAATGTGTACCATCTTTTCTAAGTAAATTAGATATGAAATTCTGATGATGGAAAGCTATAAAGCAGTTGCTACAAAATACCATGGTGTTGATATTTAGTATAACCCATATTTTACAAATTAAAACAAAACACTTGCAAACAGGAAGCTAAATGAATGTAAGTGAAGAGTGTTAAAAAAAGGATTAACAAACTAAGAATCATCCTACCCATTGTTTGTTTGTTGTTGTCTTTTTTAGCTTGGTAGAGATAAAATTCTGGGGAAAAATATTTCTGTGTGTGTTGTTCTAGAATTCATTGTTACATTGCACTAGTTCATCCTTACCTATTGTCTTCTTCATTTTTGCCACACTATTATTTGTCAAACCTTGTTGCTGTGAAGAAAAGATAAATGGATTGTTAAATGCTAATCCTATTTTACTTAGTGTGTGTCCTTAGGGTCCAGCAATGTACTAACCCTTTAACAGGGGCCTGAAGGAAACATTTGCGACTATGAAAACACCAGCAAACCACTAAGCTGTGATTCTCCTCCCAGCTTTGCTAATTTAGGCAAAATGGTAGGTTAATTTATATAGTTCACACTTGTCAGGAGCAAGGTCTTTACTAACTCAGTTTTTCTAGCCTGGAGACCCTCCCTCAGGCTACAGTTGAACTTCAACCCAAACACATGTCACCAATGACTCAGATATCTATCATTTAAGACAATCCCTTCAGAATTCTCCATGGATGGGACATGCCACTCAACTATTCAAAACTGAATCTGAAGGAAGAAGCTATTGACCCACTAACATTTAAGTGTTTGGTCTTTAATCTACCCAAAAGGCAAAGGGTTGTTTTCTCAAACCTTTTGTCAATAAGATACTCCACTCTTTCCACATCATAACACACTTGAGAACTAGCTGTATGCTGCTTTGTAATTAGCTGCTTTCTTTAATACTGTTAACAGTCTTTACAATACAGAGATATTTCAATTGTCTTTCCACTTTTTAAAAAACAAGGCGGAAGAAAGTAAATTTGGACTTCAAACCCAAAAGGAAAACATCAGCCTTTGTGTCCAATGTTCTCTTGCACCTCTCCCTAACTTAGCAGTACTATTCTATCTTTACAGCATAAGTGGAAGATCTATAGCTAAACTACGCACTGACACTGGGCTTGGAGAAAGATCATAAAGAGCTTTTATATTTTTCTGTTCTTGCTTAATTACTACAATGTCTTTTTACTACAGTCAAGAATGCTTCATGTATTTCCATCTTTGAAAAAGTAGCCACTGTCAATGTGGCAAATTATAATAAATACTGATAAAACCTTACAAACCATCGCATATACTAAAGAAGTACACATACAAAAAGATGATGATCCTAACTGTGAAGAGTTCTGTATACATTCAAAATAACATTTAAGATGCTAATGCATTATTTTACAGATACATTTCAAAGCATCACAACTTGTCCACCCAAGAGGGAGAATTTAACTCTTACATTTCCAGGCAAAGACTTTAGACTCAAAGTACTGATTTACTTATATTTGGAAACTGAACAAGGACAAGGGTGAGGGCAAATATAGTAGTAATTGGCCTATCATTCCAACTTAGTCTTTGTAATCACTGAGAAACAAAATTCTGTTCAACTGAAGTATCACTTTGTGTGTAGAAGTGTTGAAGAATATAAAGAAGCACTGATGAAAACAGCATGTTCAACATGATGTTTTTATTTCTGGCCAAGTGAAGCAATGAATTCCTCTAATCAAAAACAGTCAAGATCTAACCAATTTATTCAAAAACCTGAATTTAAACTCCCCCAACTAATCTTTTTGCTATATTTAACATATTTGTTCTGTGTATGTATCTATGTGTTTTCAACTGTGCATGACTTTATTTGTAAAAGATAATGCATTGGAGCCAAGTGAATAATATAGAGAGGATTACCCTGCAAAAACAGTCTTGCCCATCACTAGCTCTTCAAACATATTTTTCCATTCTACCAACGTGTCCTTTCAACAACCAACAGTAAACATGTAAGACTGTGGCATTCTCTAGGTTCTATCATCTAAATCAGTTCGCTTATGCCATTAGGGCAAAGAGGATGATCCTTAACAGAAAGAATTCTTTAAGCTGCTGTGTTAAGTTGTATTTAAATTTGTGACAAATATGAATTAATAAAATAGAGATTTTAACCATCCTTAAAAACTAGCAAATCAGCTGCAATAAAAGCTACGTTTAAAATTTTTTTTGACAGTAAAATACAGTAGGAATACTACTGATACTAATAACCATTCTTAGTTCTAACCTACTGCTATCAGGTGCTTGTTATGGTTTATTTGGCTTTGTTTTGTCTGCAAAGTTTCTTTTCCGAAATCTTTGGTCACTGCTCATCAGCTAAGATTGAGATTCATAAAATCATCAGGCACATCCTATTTTCTCAAAGTATTATAAAGACCTCGCTGAACTTGTCACCTGCACCACTTCTGCTTTTGACAAACCCAGATTTGTAAAAGCAGACATAACTGGCTTTTTTAGGACCAAAACAAGCTTAAATGTTTTAATTTCACAGGAAAAGGAGCTTAACACCTAAGCAAATGAGATCACTGTAGAAGCTCTAAGAAAGAACATTAAAAAAAAAACAAACCTAAAAATGAAGTGATGAAAGGAATGAACTCTGATATGTGCTCATTTATCAGTACTTTCCAGGGAATCACTCTTTTAGGACAGCAGGTAGAACCACACTTGCTTAGTAGCTCAAAACCTTCATAGAACAAGATATCACTGTGTCTCTCAAGCCAAAATAAAATGAAATCTAAGTAATAAGATGGTAACTCACGAGGATTCTAAATACACAATTAACCTAAACCAAGAAATATTATCCACATTGTTTCTATAGAAAAATCTTGTAACCCACAGTTCAGACAGTAAGCTTGTCTTTTACTAATGAAATAAAATCTAGCTTTCCAGCATTCCTCTACCAAAAAGGATCAAAAACAGTATCTAAAAGAACATTTTCTTACAGCTCATGGATTTTCATTTTAAAATTAATGCATTGTGAATGACATTGTTTTAACTTAAGAATTGTATAAAGACTTTCCAATACTATATTTCAGCATCTATCGACTTAAAATCAATTTCTAATGATGACATTTGCACAATGCACTTTGCTACACATGTAGAACTGTTCACAAAAGTATAATCTGTGAAAATTTAAACTTACACTTCAGAACTTGAAGGAGAAAATGGGAAGGGTGTAATATCAAAATTAGTAATATTCATATGCAACTCAGCTGTGAAAAGTCCTGCTTAAAAGTCTCATTTTCTTTTTTTTAAGTCTCATTTCTTATCAGTGTGCTATCTCTAAATATGTTTTTAATGCACCAAAAATAGTATAGAAGGCATTTCCATAGTTAACACTTCACCGACATCAATCATCAGCAATTTGTTTGTGCTGTTACACAAAAGAACACAGCTAAAGTGTTTTCTATAGGGAAAAAAAAATCAAAACCAAACCAAATCTAGCCAATATTAAAGGTCAAAGTTTATCCTTATGCAATTCCTTCTGCAGAATTGTGAGCTTTCACACAAGTTAATCAGGTTACCATTCAGCACTTGAAACAAAAATAAACATCAACTCTAGGAAAGCAATGTAAGAGTAAAATGTGGGTATGCCAATTAAAATGCAATCAAGCTTGAGATTTTTAAACCTGGTGGTTTGGGGGATGTTGCCATTTGGGGTTTTTCCTCCCCCTTTATCTTTTGATCACAAGGTTGATTCATGAATGAAATCCCACTTTAAGATCCTATTTTTCTCTCACTTACATGTACGCTGGAGAAAGTGGCGTTGACCTGGATGTTTTAAGCACAGGAACTGGGAATTTCCAGATAGCAGGAGAGCTCGTTTTCCATTTCAATGGCATGTTGTCACCACGGTACTACAATAACAGTAAACAGCGTTTCCATAACAGACTACCAACTAGGAGTTCCATTCCACAGTGGACTGACACAGTGGTGGCTGCCGCGGAGAACAGTGCCCTTAAACCGATGCTTCCAATCTGTAAAATAGGGCTGCAAGGTACCTCCTTTAAAGCCTTCTGTCCCCTAAAGCAATATGATGATTCTATCGTTTTTAACTCAACAATAGTGCCACCTCGTTAGGAAAGCGTTGACTGCAGTAGATTTTTTTTTTTTAAAGACTGCACTGAGCATACCACACAAAGCAGCTTTATTTAATAAAAGCAGCTATAGTTTTGGGGTGGGTTTTTTTTCCTCTTAAGCTTGCAATACCATTGTTCCACCTTAACAGGAATACTGCAGCACTGTACTACATTTTGCACCTATTAACCTGATTTCTGACCAATAGTAGCAGGAAAACAAAATAGATGGGTTTCATATGAAAATGAAACAACATACCTACTCAGAATACACTTGTCATCCTCTGAACATTCTTCTTTTGAGCTGCAACAATACAAATGGGATATAAACCTCAGCATAGCCTTAGGCCACAGCTAATAGAGATCAGTGACTAAATTCAGCAGCCTGCTTTCCTCCTGTGCAAGCTCTGGTCACACAATACAAGAATGCCATTATGGGAAAAGCCCATCTAAAAAAATGCCAGTCCTTCTGTGTTCCAGTTAGAAGAAGGCAAAATGTAACGCACATAAACTCCTGCAGAACTCTGCACGCTCTTCTAACAGCTTCTCATTCAAGTTGCTCGCTTTTCCCTATTCTGATTTCCAAGCCGGGATGAGCAAAATCTCATATATTTACAACATGCTGTGGTAACACGAATATCACTCTGTCTTCTGCAGCCGAGAAGTACAGAGTAGCATGCTCTTAATAGCAATCCTCCGAGGGACGCTATCAACAATCTAATTCAAATGCTGCCCTCCCCTTCTTCTCTCTCCCTCTCCCCTCCCATTCACCTCCCTCTCTCCCCCCCCCGCCCCTTGAAACACAAAAGAAAAACTCCCTCATTGGTACACAATCCCGGTACACAACCCCCCCCGCCTACAATATCCCGCCCCCCCCCGCCCCCAAATAGCTCACAAATTGCCCAGAGGAAAGACCAATGCTGCTGGCCAAGCAGGTGTCCAGCAGGGACCACTCCAAAGCTCAGTGGTGGGTCAGGTAACCTCTAGGGGTTAGTGACTGACAAGGAGATTCACAAAGCAAGCTTGCTGTCAAAGGCAGCTTGCGGTATTTCATGAAAGCAATGGCAAATAAAGGGTTCATCTGTACTGTTTTAAAATACTGTCAGAGAACAGGGTTGTAAATGCCCCGAAAGCGGCTGGCTGTTTTAAGTTTCTGTTTAAAGCACCAAATGAATACATTTTATAAACAGTTCTATAAAAGTGAAAAGAGGTTAAGCTAGTATTTTCTTGAACTCTACATTCATAGAAGACTTTTACTTCTGATGTAGGCAAGTCACCACAATTAAATATCTATCTTCATAGCACCTCTCCCCTTCTCCCTGAAAATGAAATGATTAGACTTCATCAACACAAGCTTAGTAAAGGCAAAACTGCCATTGGCGCAAAAGCCATCGCTTTTTAAAACAAAGCGGGGGGTGGGGGATGGTGGGGGGGAATCACTGCTGTGACCAAGAAGCTAATTTTTGCTTCCAAGTTTGTAGCTAAACAATAAACTTGTGTCTCAAACTCATGTAGTTAGCTTTCATATTGATACTTTTCTCAAATTATTACTATTTTGCACAAGACTAAGAGATGAATTCCCTCAAGATGTTTGCTCATTTGTATTTTAAGAACACAGATGAATGCTGCTGTATAAAGGGACTAGTTTTGAAAATTCCAAAACATCATTTAGTAAACCAGATATATATCCTTTAGTAAACCAGAAATATGGCATAAAATCGGCTATGGTACCCACAAGTAGTTTCTTTTAAGTTGCAGACCAATACACAGTCTAAAGGTATATAGTATTTTTCTTATAAGCTCTGTGTATGTGCGTGTGTGCAGAGAGAGGAGAGAGAATAAACGCTTATGCAGAGACACTGACTGGTAATGCATGAATTTCATTAACTATTAAATAGATGTCAGCTATTGCGGCCTCCCAAATAATTTCTATTTAATCTATCATACACATATCCCAAGTCCAGTAATGCTACTTAAAGGGTAAAATGATATTTCTAACTCCTTTTAAGATCCATATGTAAAACTGTTTCATAGAAATTATCAAGGAATTACAGAAATTAGTTTTTGTCAAATATCTGTGGCTTTAATCTGTTTTTTAACAACCATTATAAATTAAAACAAACTATAGTCACTTCTTTTACATTAGAAGACTTCACCTAAGTAATATTTAATGGTTATGGATAATTAGGACATATATAAAATAAACAGTGGCAACTTACTAGAAATTCAAAGATGGAAACATGCACAAACACACCACACACATACACACATGCCATACACACACAGGTATCAAGTTCAGAATGTCCTAGTTCTTACTACATTTCCAACAACATAGAGGTTCAAACATAGAGGTCTTTTGAAACATTGGAAAATATAAAACATAATGTGGCTACAAATGGCTCGTATGTAACAACGTTTTAGAAACGGGATCTAATCACTTCCCAGGTTACATAACAAGGCAGTAACTGCGACTTTCCCTCTTGCAAACAGAGACTCCAAAACCTGTGCACACACCTACCCCAAAAAGGTAGCACTATGTTTCCAGACATTTACCTGACTATAATGACTATTCAAAATTTGAGTGGAAAATAAGATTAAGGACAGAGTGTTTCCAATTTCCAAACTGGTGACCTCAGAAAACAGGTGAAGATTTACAATTTATTGTTATGGTCCTGGAGTTATTCTTCTGAACTTAAACAAACTGATTTAAAAACCCCAACACATTCTATTCTAACTCATTAGGTTCTGAAGACATCAGCAACACCCCTACATCCTTCACGCCAATATTCAACCTAGGTTTCTCTGGTTTCATAATTAGTTCTAGTGTCTAGAGCCCTCTAATATTTTGAATATTTGCTCAATGTGGAAAAAAAAGGAAACTGCTTTCCTCCACTCCATCTTCAACATTCCTATTACTCAAACCCCTAAATCTATTATATCTGATGATGAACATTTATTTATATTCAGTTTTTACTTTTGTTTTAGTTTCTAAACATAATGATAGAGAAGAGATTGAGATTGTCAGTAATTTCAGCTTGCTTGGTTCCACAAGCAGCATTCTCAGCACCAGCCGTCAGGAAATCAAAAGATTAATTGCATTGGGAAAAATCTGCTGTCAGGGACAGCTCCAGAGTGTTAAAGAACAATGATGTCTGTCTAGAGATTAAGGTGTGCCTGATCCAAAAACGGTCGCTATGAATTGCTACCGACTCAACAGCACATAACAACAACAACAAGCATCATTTGTCATTATCATCCATGAATATATAATTTATATGCCAAAACTTGTAAAAATAATTGGGATAAACAGTAGGAAACGTTAGGTGTGTTCAGTGAATTTCTGCTCACAGTGATCCCACGTGGTAGAATAGAACTACTCCATAGAATTTTTTAGGCTATAATTGTTGTAGCAGATCATCAAAGCTCTCTTGTGGAGTCAGTATGTGGGTTTAAATTGTCAATCTTTAGGCAACAGCTGAGAGTTTACTGAATGCACCACCTCAAACATAAACTCATCAAAGTTGAGTCAGAATTGATACAGAGCTGACCCTCCAGTAGGGAGTGTGAGAAGCTGGAAGAAAGACATTGCCCATTTTTCTTCCAAAAAGAAACTGGTGGATTTGAACTCTCAGAGGAAAGTGGTTTTAGGTTAGAAGAGCAACTCTCTGCAGACTACACCACCAGCACTTCCTACGCGGCACCTTCAGGGTGCCTTAAACAGAGAAATGGCCCACAAAATATATTTCACAAAATTAATTAATCCTACTCTTCCTCCAGTGTTGCTTGGAAATAAACTTTAGCCAAGTAAAATCACACTAATTACAAATTGTTGTTGATACTGTGTGTCATAAAGTCACAACTGACCCATAGCTGACCCTCTAGTGAGTTTCCAGAGGCAGTAAATCTCATAGGATGAGACTGACCACCCTTCTACGGTGGAGGAACTGTTGGATTCAAACCATGTGCCTTTGAAGCTGCAGTGCAGCTTCTTACCACCAAGTGGCCAGAGCTCCCACGAGCAGAGTCCAAATTAATCAGATTTCACTACTCTGACTGCAGAGACACCAGCAGTAAATGAAAGGGAGTGCTGGTTGGTGGTCTAGTGGCTAAGAAGCTGTGCCACAATCCCAAAGTTATGTGGTTCCAATCCACCAGCTGCTGTGGGGAGAAGGATGGGCAATCTCCTCCCATCATGTGAACTGCCTCTGAAAACCCGCCAGAGGGTCACCTATGGGTCAGCTCTGATTCGTTGATACACAATAACAACTATCCTAGCATTCTTGAACTAAAAAGTTTCGGCCTACAGAAGGAAGGGAGAAAAATGATTAGATATTTTAAATACAATTCTATGCAGGCTCATTGTCCCACTGCTTTAGTGTTTAGACTGGTGAGTGTCAAAAATCCTCTGTCACATCATAGGAAACACTGATTTCATTTACAGAGCACTGGGGTTCCATAACCAGCAACTGCATAAAACAGATGGAAAGGCAATATATGCAAAAGCTCCTCCAAACGTTTTCTGAACATTAATGAATCACTTAAAATACCTGTGAAATGAATTATTTCACAACTGTAATAAACAAAAGACAATGATAGGGCTTGGTTACAGCTGCAAAAGAGAGTCAGTCTTGGGCAAATCTTACAACATAGAACTGCCTGGCTCCTAGTGTAGTAAGACTTTTAGAACTTCTAAAACTCTAAGAAATCATTGTGCTCAGTACCTTCCTTGTACAGATGAAATATCTGAAGGCCACAGAAGTTAATTTGCCCACTGATAGTAGAACTTAAAGAAAAACAAACTAACAAACGAAAAAAAACCCCAAACACCATTCTGGCCCTGGACTTCTCTAGAATCCCTACTGTGACTCTGCTGTGTGAGAATGTTTTGTAAATGGTAAATTACTATATACAAAGTGAGCCATAAATATATCAATGCATTTGCAAGGAACTACAAAAAGACAAAAGACTACAAAAGAGATATCCTCCCTATCTCCTCCAAGGATATGCGCACAATGATAGAAGTGAGAGAGAAAACACCAAAATGCATACAATATACAGAAATAATCATTTCCAAAATCTTCATTCCATAAGATGTTTAAAACAGGGAGGGGGGGGTTAGGGAGTGGGGGGAGAATAAGTCAGTCACAGTATTAGGATGAAAGTGAAATACAGAGATAGTAGTCTGATTTGGTGACATCATTATGGAGAAAGTAGTTGTTCCAGGCGACTCATAGCAACCCTATGAAGGAGAGTCCTCACGCTTGGGTGTCTTTCATCCTCTCTCCAGGTTCATAGGGTTTCCAGAGGCTATTATGGAAATGGATGCCACTCCTTCCACGCTTGTTTTAATCGGGGAGCTCCACCCCACTCTCTGTCCGCATTGGGTAGCCAACTGTTAATGCATTTGACACATCCGTGTCACAGGGTTCAGCCTCACAGCAACCACAAGTGACTGAGGTACTTGTACACCAGGGCTATACAACCTAGAGGAATGTCTGAACAAAAACAATGAAAGACTGGCCCGAGGGCCACAGGCTGAAGCCACTGCTGCCTTCAACCTAAGGCCAAGCCTGGCTTGCCTGGCTCCTGGAGGCAGAGTAGTCCTTCTGGGGAAAGTAGAGTCAGCAAAAGAAAGGAAGACCTCCAACAAGGTGGACTGACACAGCCAATGCACTCAAGCACTTCAG